AGAGAGAGAGAGAGAGAGAGAGAGAGAGAGAGAGAGAGAGAGAGAGAGAGAGAGAGAGAGAGAGAGAGAGAGAGAGAGAGAGAGAGGGGTCAAGAACTTTTCTGAGTAACTATGTGAGTTGTTGTCTTGCTCTGCATGTAGTCGATGATATACTTTGACTGCTTAATCTCCGTGGTTGGGGATGTGATTGCTGGCAGCACAAGCCTTCCGAATTGCCGGCTATGCTGGAGAATTCGCTCACGCTCCTGAATTTCTGCAGCCAAGTAGACTTGCAACTTAGAGTTGACTACAAGTAGTGGGTTCCTGGGGTCATTTATGACGTCGTCGTTGACAGAGGTGCCATCAAGGTACTGCTTCAGCACCATCTGTAGCTGCGCATTTTCAAAACCCACCCTCGTGCCCTCCCTCTGCACCGTTGTCTTGTCTAGCAAAACCTGCAAGAGGAATGAGGAAAGGTCAGTGTCAGGCATCCGGTGCCTCATAGTGTAAACGAATCCAAACAGTTCATGCATTCTCTCAACTTCTGTATTGTTTTTACCTTCCACTACCTAAGACTATCTAGAGGGGACCCCTGCAAGCATAGTTTTCCTCTCTCTGTGAAGGGGAGATTTCATGTTGCCCCTTGCCCCCAATGGTTAGGGTATAGGGTTGGGGCTGCCAGTGGGGGTCTGGCTAACACAAAGACCGAGACCTGCCAGTAGCTGTGCCTCCCTTTCTCATCGTCCCCCACCCTTCATCGAGTAGCAGCAGCGGCTATGGCCAACACTCTCCCACACACCACACACAACCCACTCACGCTCACACTCAACCCACTCACGCTCACACTCACACTCACACCCGTGTTGGTCATAGACCCCGCTAATACCGATCAGGGGTATCCAGAGGACTATCACAGTCCGTTGGCACTAAGTGCACCGCAGGCGGCCATGGGGCTTGAACCCACAACCTCCTGAATGCCACTCGCATGCCTAACCCAGCGGAGCTAGTCCGCTGGGTTAGGCATGCGAGTGGCATTCAGGAGGTTGTGGGTTCAAGCCCCATGGCCGCCTGCGGCGCACTTAGTGCCAACGGACTGTGATAGTCCTCTGGATACCCCTGATCGGTATTAGTGGGGTCTATGACCAACACGGGTGTGAGTGTGAGCGTGAGTGGGTTGTGTGTGGTGTGTGGGAGAGTGTTGGCCATRGCCKCTGCTGCTACTCGATGAAGGGTGGGGGACGATGAGAAAGGGAGGCACAGCTACTGGCAGGTCTCGGTCTTTGTGTTAGCCAGACCCCCACTGGCAGCCCCAACCCTATACCCTAACCATTAGGGGCAAGGGGCAACATGAAATCTCCCCTTCACAGAGAGAGGAAAACTATGCTTGCAGGGGTCCCCTCTAGATAGTCTTAGGTAGTGGAAGGTAAAAACAATACAGAAGTTGAGAGAAGAATATAGACAGTTGTGATCACCCCCCGAAAAACAAACAAACAAACAAACAAACAAACAAACACGAAAAAAACAAAGTTACAGCACACAGCACCCGCACTCACTCCCAAACGCGTTCCGGATGTATGTATGGGACATAGTGCCTCGCCGCACCACTCACCAAGTGCGAAAAAGACAAATTATAACGGTGAGTGGTGCGGGGAGGCCCATAGCCTCCTGCTCCTGAGTGGGACCCCACCAGTCTTCTTCCCTTAGAAGTACCATCCTCTGGTAATCTGACTACAGAGTACGTGGAACCACACGCCCACGTCCAGCTGTAGACGTGCTCTAGTCCGGACGTGCACACCCACATCTGGATGAGGGCACTCACGAGGAAAGGCGTACTCACACTAGGACTTTTGTGGATTGCAATGATCTCACATGCAGTTGTCATCAAACAAGCTCAGCAGAGCATGTTAAACAGGTTTCCAAACACGCATGAGTAGCGAGTACCAAGAGAACAACCAACTTGTTTTATTTCAAGAATTTACACAGCCGAAAAGTCTGGCCACTCCTCCTACGGCCCAGCAACGTCCATCCGACAACAGCTTCAGAAGTTCAGATACTTGTCTCGCTAGTCTCTCCCTCTCTCTCCCTCTCTCAGTATGTACATGATCTCCCTCTCTTCCTCTAAGTATGTACACACTCTCTTCCCTCTCATGTATGTACACTCTCCCTCTCTGCCTCACGTTCTCTATGCCTGGATCTATCCCTGAATACACCCGCCTCCTTGGTCCCCAGTGGCTATGGCCGTCTGTTGCTCCTTCACCCCAGTGGCTATGGACGCCTTCCTCTTCGTCGCCTCCAACTTGCTTCGTGTCCTCCTCATTACCACAAGCACAGGGTCGCGATGGTCGCACAAGACGTGCAGTTTTGTCTGGACCGGTACCGGCTGCTTGGGACTGTGTGCAGTGGACTGCATGTTTCTTGGGTACGGATGCCTTCGGGAAGGTGCTGCTGCAATGTTGGACTTTTGACTTCTGGACTTTTCCTTTGGTACCAGGCCCAATCAGTAACGACTTGACTTCTGGACTCTTCCGGGCCAACAGGTAGACTTCTACGTCTAGACCTTTCTTGACTTGGGCCTGCGACTGCCCAAAACTGGACCCTGCTGACTTCTTTTTTCTTTCTTTCTTTTCTTCTCTTTTTTTTTTCCTCTATTTTTCTCCTTTTTTTTTTCCCTCCTTTTTTTTTTTTTTTTTTTTTTTTTTTTTTTTTTTTTTTTTTTTTTTTTTTTTTTTTTTTTTTTTTTTTTTTCTTTTTATCATTCCTTTTTTTTTTTTTTTTTTTTTTCTTTCGTTTTTTTTTTTCCTCTTTTTTATTGGACCCTGCTGACTTCTAACGGGACTGGACCTCTAAATTCGACCAGAAGCTTCTAGACTGGGCCCCTGGGCCTAAAGTGTTTTAGCATTTTTCTTGTGAGGGTCGCGTGGCCCTCGACTCTCGGAATTTGGCCTGGGGCCTAAGGGCTCAAGATTTTCTGAGGCCCGCACGTCAATCCTTTCAGGATGCATCTAATTGGAACAAGACTCCATTTCTTTGTCCCAGAGACTGATAACAGTTACACAAGTCGACCCAAATGATGAAAGCAAGTAGAGTCAAACAAGTCGACCCAAAGTGCTGAAAACACATAACCACACGTGCGTGTCATGCACGAATAGCAAATATGCGAAACTCTCGAAACTCTCGAAAGAGGTCTCTCATAAACAGCAAGAAAACCCAGACCTCGCATAGCATAAGCTATGGCTTCTCCACTCCTCCACTCCGTAAAGAAATCTAGAAAACGCCGAAGGAAGAGTAGACTGGCTGCCCCGACTAGTTTCAACCCAAATGTCTTTGCTGGTCATTCAGTACATCTGTTAAAAATTGGAACGATATGCGAAGATTAGCATGGCCCCTGCGCACGGATGACACACGTAAACCGAGAAAATTCAAAAATGTCAAAATAGCCGAATAGGAAAAAAGTTCAAAAAACTTCAAAAAAGAGTCTTTGCGGATCGCGTGTTTTGAGCATGGGGACCGAGGTTCACTGTTCATAGGCATGAGTACCCATAGGCTTGGTACGATGCTCGCATGAGTCTCTGCCAACACAGAACCCGTCTAGGACATTGTCATCAGAGTCGATCAGGCTCATCACATTACATGATGTTTTGTGCAAGGCAAGAAAACGATGAAGCAAAGATGTTAGCATGTTTTGATACACAATTTATAAAACCAGTCTGTTTGGTTTTATAAACCCATAGGCTTGGTATGATGCTCCCGAGGCTCCTGTTTTGGGACCGGATTTGCAACGATTGAAAGTTTGAAACTAATGCATGCCAGTTTGCATGGAGATGACAAAGCAGTCTGTCCGAATCTGGACAACGGGTGAGCAACGGAACATGCCTTGTTGTTGTTGTTGTTGTCACTCTTCTTCTTCTTCTTCTTCTTCTTCTTCTTCTTCTTCTTCTTCTTCTTCTTCTTCTTCTTCTTCTTCTTCTTCTTCTTCTTCTGTCCTCCTTCCTCCTCCTTCCTCCTTCTTCCTCCTTCTTCTCCCTCCTTCTCCCTCCTCCTCTTACTCCTGCTCCTCCTTGTTGGGTCTTCTTGTCATTGTTGCTCTTCTTCTTGTTCTTCTTTTTCCGTCATCCTCCTTTGTGGTCCTCCTCCTCCTCATTCTTGTTGGGTCTTCTTGTTCTTGTTGCTTTTCTTCTTGTTCTTCTTCTCCCTTCGTCGTTGTTGTCGTCCTCGTCCTCCTCCTCCTCCTTCTTGGGTGGGGAAGGAAACATGTGGTTCAGATATAAATTCTTCTTCTTCTTCTTCTTCTTCTTCTTGGGTCTTCTAGATCTTGTTGCTCTTCTTTTTGTTTCTTGTTCCTCTTCTTCCTCCACGCTCCTTCCTCCTCCCTCCATTGTCCTCCTCCTCCTCCTCCTCCTCCTCCTCGGGCGGGGAAGGAAACATGTGACTCAGAATATAAATTATCGCCGTCCTCGTCCATCTCTTCCACCTTCTCCTCTACTGCACAAGGGAGTGCCAATTTCTTCTGCCACAGTATTGTGGTCATAGGGCCTACTGTTGCCACAGGGACCGAACTGGGCCCGGTGGGACTGGACAGATCTCTGGGACTGACCGGATGTCCCTGAAACTCACCTTGTTGTATCGCTTTAGGAAGCCGTTCAGATAATTTGCTTCATTGATCAGATTGCCCCGCTCATCAACCTGTTCACCCCACAAAAGAGGGCATAGAAACACATTCACGAATCACGAGTGAAACCACTAATCATCACCAGAATCATGACCAGAATCATGACCAGAATCATCACCAGAATCATCATACATCTGTTCAACAATGTTGCATCAACGACTGCGGGAAACTTGAAATTTTGGTTGCAATGGGAAAACAGGGGGGGGGGAGGGGAAGGGGGGAGGATTGCCCCGACTTTACCAATATGCCTCAAATGGAATCACAAATGTCAGTGGCCTGGTGAGCTGCGAGATGCCACATTTTGCGATCACCTCCCGGGGCTAGGTCCCATTAGCAAAGAGGACTGGAATTAATGCCTGAATCTGGACATGTTTGTGGACAGGAGCCAAAAATTTGCCATTGATCAGCTTATCTGCATCTCTGCATAAAACACATCCAGATTCAGGCACTTAATCCAATCGTTGTTGCTAGTGCGACCTCGCCCGTGGAGGTGTTCTCAAAACCGTCTTTTTTCCTTTCCGAGTTGTCGGTTGAATGATCGAACAATGGACATCGCTCCAGTGGCTCCACTACTCACCAGATGCACAAAGGGCAAAAGATATGGTGGTGTATCTTCCCAGTTTCTAGCGGTAGATTCATTCCCATCTTGTACATTTGGTGAGGAGTGGAGTGAGGCCCAATGTCTGACCACAGCTTTTGACTCTGTCGCTTGTTTCCACACTGTGCCCCACTACCAAAAAACCCACAGAAAACCAACGCGCCGAGCTCAGTTGTTACACCCATGAACTGTTGAATAACAGATTTTTTTAATTGTTAATTTTTATTTATTTATTTATTATTATTTATTATTTTTTGGGGTCCACGCTCGGCCCGAACGGCCGAACCCGTCTTCAGGGGGCCCGTAAGTTCGGGCGTTCGGGCGTTCGACCCGTCCCGAATGCCGGCTATATATATATATATATTGTCACATCACTACAAACTAAAAGAGCGCACTTTGCGGAACAAAGAATAAAAGCAAAAAACGGGCACAGTGATAACATGCAAAAATAAAAAGAAAAAGAAAAAACAAGGGCAGATTGAAACCATTAAATTTCTCATTCTTCTTTGAACTCCACCTCCACTGTGCCTCTCACGTGCAAGGCTCGCCACGTTGATGAAGTTGAGCGCGAGCTGCCCCCATCCCCGTATGCCATAATAGCCCACTTGCACGCTGTGAGAGAGGCAGAGTGAAGGGGAAGGTGTTAAACACAGGGAAAAGCTCAAGAATGAGGCTGTCCTTGACGACAGAAAGGACACACTCACAATACCAAGCTTATAAAAAAAGGACAAACAACCATGCAGAACTTTTGTAACAACATCTGTCATAAGAAACAATGGAGGAGCTTAGTTCACCATGAAACCAGCCAAATAGGCATACAGCTCCTGCGAAGGAGGCAGGGGAGTCGTTAAGGAAGGGGGTGAGAACAACATAAAAAGAAAGATGTAGGAGATAAGAGAAAGAATAGATTGTCTTCCACAAAAAAAGTGAGTGCCTGGTTGTACAGGCCCGATGCTCGCC